GTGCTATGCTTCTGGGTAGTATTAAATGTATAACACATAGAGAGATTACTACTGGTGGCTGGGCATGAAGAGAGAGATAGTCGAGTTTGTATCCAAATGTTTCATCTGTCATTAGATAAAAATAATATTATGACTTCTACGGCCATTGCCTATTCCAAAATGGTTATGGGAGCACATTTCTATGGACTTTTTATTTGGTCTTCTTCATACTCGGGATGGTCATGATGATGTTTGGGTTATTGTAGATCGTTTAACCAAGACTGCCAGGTTCTTACCGATCAAAGCTACTTATTCTTTAAATAAGTTGGCAAAGTTGTACGTGGATGAGATGGAAGCCTGGGGGTACTATATTACATTTCAGTACAGTGAAAAACAAATGGCCAGTCAGAAAAGACTATACAGACTCTGGAGGATATGTTAAGGGCTTGTGTTTTAGAGTTCAAAGGTAGCTATGATACTCATTTATATTTGATGGAGTTTGCTTACAATAACAGTTACCACTCTAGTATAGAAATGGCTCCTTTGAAGCTTTATATGTTAGAAAGTGCAGAACGTTAGTGCATTGGAATGAAGCTAGTGAAAGGAAGTTAGTAGGCCCTGAATTGGTCCAAATGTCTTCAGAAAATGTGAAATTGATTAGAGAAAATTTGGGGATAGCACATGATAGATAGAAAAGTTATACAGATAGGTGCATGAAAGATCTCGAATTTGCAGATGGAGATAAAATATTTTTGAAATAGTCACCTTGGAAAGGGGTGTTTAGATTTGCTAGACAAGGAAGGTTGAGTCCACAATATATTGGACATTATCAGATTTCTGAGCGGATTGGCCCAGTTGCATATCGATTAGATTTGCCAGATGAATTATCTAGGATCCATGATGTTTTTCATGTTTCTATACTTCTCAAATACATCGCAGATGCTTCTCATGTGCTAGAATCTCAGCCAATTCAGTTGAAGGAGAATTTGACCTATATAGAAGAGCCAATGAGAATTCTTAACAGAAATGTACTTGTCAATGTACTTTAGAGGAATTAGACGGTAGAAGAGGCTACATAGGAAAATGAGGAACAGATGTATGCATAATATCCTCATCTATTTACTGATTAGCCACATGTCCATCGAATTTTGAGGACGAAATTCTTTTAAGGAGGTGAGATTGTGACAACCCATATTTTATAAGTCAAAAGTCAAGGTCAATTATGGACTTAAATGGGAATAATTGATTTTCTTGGGCCTTATTTTATATTTAAGATAATGGAGGGTTAAGATGTATTAGAATTTAAGTCGGGGACTTATTTATACCTTATAGATAATTGAGGGATTTTTCTTGCAAAACTCCACTATCTAGACAATTTCAACCTATTTTCTCAATTCATTTTAAACACACGCATAGAGCATGCAGAGAAGAGAGAAATCGAGGAAAGAAAGAAAGAAAGTGGGAAGGAAGAAGAAGAAGAAGAAGAAGAAGAAGAAGAAGAAGAAGAAGAAGGAGAGTAAGTGGGTAATTTAAGTTTAATTTTCATTGTTATTCTCTTTATTTTTCTTCAAGAGGCTGAGATATATTATGTTAATTTGTAAGGTTTTAATTTGTGGTTAAAATTTTCAGATTTTTGAGATATGAGAATAAATTGGAGCTCGAGTTTATTGATTCTTTAGTTTCCATTTATACTACGGTAAGAAATGCTATTTTTGGGCAAACCCTAGATTTTTATTTGGATGCTTGAATAAGTATTGTTAGTAGAAATGATAGTGTGGATGAAATACTTACAAGAAAGCACTATTTTATGGAACAATATGTATATTAAACTGGTTGTGGTGTTGGTTGTTAGTTTCACTAAATTCAAGTGGATTATAGCATTTATTCTTGAATTGAAGGTTATGTTGATGAATTGGTTATTAGTAAATGGATTAGAAAGTGTAATTAGTCCCACTTGATTAAAGGAATAATTTGGGAAATTTATTCAAGTATCAAAAAATTTAGTTTAAGTATTATAGCCTTAGATATTAAAGGTTTCTTGATTGGATAGTAGTTATCTTTTATGGTATTTCAGGTGATGACAAAGAAATTGGAAAAGCTTACCGAACGTCATAGTCTGTAGCCTGTTTAGGTGAGTCGAGAATTTACTTTTCCAAAAATAAGATTGCTAATTTACAAGCTTACAATCATGTTTATTTAATATGAATGTTTCAATGAGTCCCAATATCTAAAGAAGCATATTAGTTACATGAAATGTCTTATTGGTAAATGAGCATGATTATCTTGAGACCATCAGAGAATACCCGATGTAATCATCTTACTCCAGTGCACTGAGGGGCTACGACCGTGTACTAGAGTTATGTATTTGACTCCTATACACTGAGGGGCTACAACAATGTATAAAGGTGACTCTTGTCCACTGAGGGGCTACGGTCGTGGGTAAGGGTACCTATTATGCACTGAGGGGATACAGCCGTGTATAAGGATGGTTATGTTACTTCCACTTTATGCACTGAGGGGCTATGGCCGTGCATACAGATTATGTTTATTTCCACTTTGTGCACGGAGGGGCTACGGCCGTGTACAGAAGTGTTGATCAGACAGTTTATGTTCGTCAGCAGATGATTACATGGGATATATTTTGATGTGATTATGTAGTTATCTTCCTCCAGTGCACTGAGGGGCTATGGCCGTGTACTAGAGTCATGTATTTGTCTCCTATACCCTGAAGGGCTACGGTCGTGCATACAGATCATTATGATATTTCCACTTTGTGCACTGAGGGGCTACGGCCATGTACAGAAGTGTGGATCAGATAGTTTATGTTCATATGACTTTATATCTTTCAGATCATTAGTAGATAATTACCTAGATTATATTCTGATGTGATTATCCCGTATTAAGTGGATTATTAGCTTCCAGCTTACAGTTTAGCTTATTGATATTCCGATGTGATTACCCAGTATATAGTGGATTATTAGCTTTCAGCTTA